CGGGGAAGTGAAACGTGCCAAGATTAATCATACAAGTTTCCATAGTTTGTATTCAAGAATTGATTTCTTCCATTGCCAATTTGGGAGAGGTACAAGGCAGAGACGAAGGGCCGCAGACTTCTATATATAGAGGAATGTCCTCTACTATGAGATAGGATTCTAATATGAGACAGCAGGTTTTCAACATCGAAATTCAATCACAAATCTTTTCTCGCGACGATTACACGATCTAACAATGAATTTCCCACCAGACAGAGATCTCACTACAAGGACAATAAATTCATGGTGGGACCAACAGATGGTGCCTATTAATTTAGCGGAAACCCCGCTATCTCATATTAGGAGTCTATCTTATAATAGGGGACTTTCCTCTACTACTAGACCGCTACCTTCGAGCTGAAAAGTGAAGCAAGAGTTTCGCCACGCTTGCACTGAAAAAAAATTTTTGAGGTCAATTAACACAAGAGCAATATGTTAAATTAACACATGAATGTGTGAAACATTTAACACAAAAATTTTAACCGGCATTTTTTTAACAAGAAAACAAATTTATTAACTGCGTAAGTGTGCATCGGTGCGTCACTGACAGTACTTTATTTACCTAACAAGACATGGCGAAATTCTTGCCTCACTTTTCGAAGGTAGCAGTCTAATAGTATATAGAAGTCTGTGCGAAGGGCGAGGAAAATCCTCCGTGTCCTTGCGTTACGTACGCGAATCATTGGGGGACGAGGGTGCCGGGAAAGGCGGCCCGGATCGAAGTCATCTCCACGTGCATCACGTTGTTACGTCATCGTCGACGTCGTTCGTCACCGCGCACGGTCAGAAAATTCCGGATATTCTCCGGCGGTCGACGGGCGGCCTCGTGTAATTGCCGCCGCTATTAATGGAGTGACACGGAATCGTGTTACGAAATCACGGCATTTTCATATCTCCGTCGCGTAGGACGCGCACACACCTGACTAAGAGCGTTGACAATGACGACATACCGATACTTTCTCCTCGACATGTCGATGTTTTGACGTTATCGTTAGATTTTTCTTTGATATTGCCCAATTATTGATATCCGTTGATGCTGATTCACGTTATCGTATTGTAGACACGACGCGCTGTCCCGCTTGCCGAGAGTCTGAATTATTCTCACATTGTCGATATTATTGGAACCGATCAAATTTCTCTTCGAATCATTCGAGTTATTATTATCGAATTGGCAACTTTGTTTCCGTTTATCTTTCACTTTCATTCTTACTTTAAAAACCGTGAACTTTTTATTTAAAATAATTTTACTTACAAATGTTAAATATTAATTTATCGAGCCATTACTTTTGCAGCATATTACCTTAAGAACTTCCGCCAAGAGGAGGAAACAGGAATTATTGATACTCGATATCGATTTGCACGATATCGTGGAATATTAGGGACATGCCACTCCGTCCGGTTTCTTCAAAGTTTGAATCATTAACTGCCTGATATTATCGAAAGCGATAATTATTTTAAATTCTCTTTTAGCTATTCGAACTACTAACTTTTTCAACTACTCACATGCTTAATTGTTGCCTTGCTATTTTAAAAACTAGTACGACTGTTTTGTGACAATTTGTCCGCGTATCTTAAGGTAGTTATTTCGTAAAATCATTTATTTGAGAATTTTGTTGAGAACTATAATCTTTCGAATCTATTTTATATTATGTATTAATCGTAAGGGTGTCCTTTGGAATAATATTGCATCGGGACATATCGTTGTAATAATTGAGCGCTGGTTCCTGTCTGGAAGAAGCATTACTGTCGCGGGACGACTACCTTTAAACACGTGAAAAGGAATCCAATCTAAAGCGATTGGGAATTTTCGTCGAAAGGAATCGCCAGAATACAAAACAGTTGAAATTGCGCGTACTACTCATGCGACGCCAGGTGCGGCATCGATACTCGATATCGAGTGTCGCGATTGCTCTTGCAGCGTTTGCCTAGTGCAATCCTATTCAGGGCACACGTGGTGGTGTATGCAATGGGCGCGCTGTAGCGACGTCTCACGAGGATGCGTAGTATACGCTGGTGGCCGCAGGTGCACACAGGTGGTGCCTGCCTGCGACGCGTGTGAAAGAAAGCGGTGCGGTTGCGACGTGGCGGGAAAGGGGCGACGGGGGATACAAAGAGACCGGGGCAGGGGGAGGGGGAGGGACACGGCCCTAGTCACATGCCGGGAAATGTCAACCACGTGCGGATACACGAGGCGCTCGCCTCGTCTATAATCCGCCCGGCGCGCGGCGCAACATAAGTATAAGCGCGCCGTCACAAGAGGAGCGCGATAAAAAGAATGCTCCCCAGCTGTGCCGCGGCCGGCCGGCGCAGTTCACGTAGCAAGCCGCGGGAAACCGCATGCCCGCGTTTCTCTCGCCTATGCTCCTCTTATCGCAATTCCCTCTCCGCGCCTCCGCCTGGACCCGCTTTTGCGGTTCACCCGGGTCCAGATCTCGCGCAGTTCCGTTCGCGTAACGGCCGAATCAGACTAGCAATTGCTGACTCGGCTTGAGGTGGAATTGGCGATTGGCGGTTGTCCTGTAGCCAATGAGAGCGAAGCAGTCAGCGACTTAACCGGTTCTCATTGGCTAGAAGACAATCGCCAATCCCAATCCAATCCGAGTCAGCAATTGCTAGTCTGATTCGGGCCTCAAAGGCCCGAACATACGAAAAAATTTAAGCAGTAATACTTAAGACTTAATAGAAACGACCAATGACTGACGAGAACGTGAGCAGCCATTTTGAAACTTAAGCAATGCCGAAGCCTATCGATTGGTTGAAATTCTTGAGTCTTAAGTCTTGCTGCCTAAGTTTTTTCGTGCGTTTCCAGCTTTAAGGCCGAATCGGACTAGCAATTGTCGACGCGGATTGGATTGGCGATTGTCTTCTAGCCAATAAGAGCAAAACAGCCAGCGATTTAATCGACTCTCATCCGACTCGGTAATTGCTGGCCTGATTCGATCTTAACGGCCGGCGATTGCTCCCTCGAGAAACTGAATACGCTACCTTATTTTTTACATCTCTTTCTCTGTTTTTTTTCATGGAATTTTTAGCTTTCAGCGAGTAAAAATTTCGCAAGAAGTCCGACCTTGCGTCGTTCTTCCCGACGGAGGTCTATCCGTTCTCGTGCCGCGGGATATCGACGATATCGACAACACCGTCCTTGAACTCTCTCATTCGAGCGAACGCGTTCGGTAAACATAACGCCAATCCCCGTCATTGTTGTAAGTTGTACGGCAGACTCTTGCGAAGGGTGATTACGCTTGCGAAACACTCTAGCCCGAAATAACGGCTTGGCGATATAAAGTTTTAGGCCGCTCCAGACCGATTCTCGTAGCGGCGGTTTCTCGATATTGTTTGCTCTCGATATAAAAGACGTGACGCGTCTAATTAAAGAACACGATCTTTAAGAATGCAAAGATAGGACTCATTTCTCAGAAGCAGTTGTTGCCGCGCAAGAAAGCTTTTACCATTTCTGAATCGATCAACCTTTTCTTTTACTTAATCGCATTAAACATTCATTGAGTTAATGTATTGATATCGTCAATGGATATATAAGAGAAATAGCGCCAATTCCGCACTGTCTCCCGAAATAACCGGCGGAACCTATCGCTGACGTAAGCGTTTATATATTGACACGTTAAAAATGCAAGCCTATAATTCGTCGCAACGAAGAATCCCCAAGTAGTACGATAATGCGATGGGAACGGCGTGTGACCGATTTTTTTTTTTTTAAGAAGAATGTTTGCCACATGGCTCCGTCCTCATGACGCATTAATTATTAAACGTCGGATGAGACCCGATTTCTGATGGCTTATTAGCGGATTACCGCTGCCGCGCGGCCTTCTGACTGCCTCAGCGAAATTACGGCGTATCTGTGTCACATGCATGCGAAGAATGCCGCGGCGGAGAACTCTTTAACCCGTTAAAAATTTACGTTGTGCACGGGGGGGGGGAGAGGGGGGCTGGAATGCCGACAGCTCCCTCGGCGAGCCGTCGGCGTCGTGGCGCATGACGGACTAAGGGAAACGGTGTCGCCTGCAAGTTTCATAAGCGACGACATTGCTGGGCTTATCAATAATGCGGAGAGCCTCGTGCTTTTCCCGTTCACTCTATTTACAGCGGAAAATCTATAACGGGGCAAGGGACGTGCACAGGGTTATTGACTGAAACATTCGTGTCGAGCGGTTGCGTAAGCTTAGCGCGAGGCGGATGCATATAGCTTCTTTGATAGCGCCGTGACGCACCTGAGCAGTGCGTCGTATTTTTGATCAATGATTTTTCGTCCCCGCGAAAAATAGAAGGGTCGAACAAATTGATAGAGCCTCTGGTTGAGACGCCCGCCTAGGGAGGTCCAGGTTCAAACCCCGGGCCGAGGTAATAGTTTTCGCAATAAATTTCAAATATGAAATTTTCGGACATTAACACCCTGTCACGGCTCTTAGTCATTTATCCCTTCGAATTTGTGTTTATCACAATTGAGCCATACGAATTTTATTATAAATTGATAAAGTTTGCAAGGCTCTCGCGTGATAAACACAAATTCGAAGGCATAGGGATGTTTTTTAGCGTCTCAATAATTCTTATTTTTAAATTCAATTGCGAAGAATATTACCTCAGCCAGGGTTTGAACCTGGACCTCCCTAGGCGGGCGTCTCGCCAATTCGACCACATATCGTGACAGTATTCGAAACGAGGATTGAATTCCGTAATTAGCGTAGAATTTGGCTCGGAGGAAATAATGGTAGATGAAACGAGATAATTTGGCGTAGTTTACCTCCGAGTAAAATCGAAGGAAATTATACAAATTGTACAATTATTTATTTTTATGTTTGTTACTCTTTGTGTTATTTCGTATGAAAATATTTCGTATGAAAAATTGTACATGGAAACATGGACTTGATCGCTCGAACGATAGCCTTACGCTTTTGGGCGAATAACATTGCAAATGACTAATCGTGTGTCTTCTGTTCTCTTTTCAGTCTGGATGGTAGATCCTGCAAGGACGAGATATACAGAATGGGTATAGGAGCTGGATATTGCGAGGGCAACCTGAACTTCGCGACGGCCTCGGAGGACGACGAGGTTTACACCAAGAAGAAGGTCTCCAGGGTGAGTCATGAGCTCATTTGTACGCGATCGGCTTCGTAACAAGCGCCTCCGTGCCAACCGGCGAAATATTAAGCAACGCGATGCCGCTTCGCGTTTTGTTTCCTTTGTGTCTGTCACACGTCAGATACCCGTCAACTATTTTTACTGCGTTTCACAACATTTGCTTAAATGAAAGCGTACAAATATTTCAGTGTTGAGAAAATTATGCGCGGGGATGCTGCGTTAGTCACGGGCAAATATTGCGCGCGGGTAAAGAAAGACTAATTATAATCTCGTTATATTTGTTTGGCTAATAATAACTCGCTGAGGAAATAAAAACTCTAGTTTTTAATTTCAACATACGTATATATTCATATAAAAGGATATAACAAAATTATAAATATACCCCGTCCTTTAACATTTAGAAAACGCATGTTTTAATTTAAAAAAACAATCTCTGTACCTTTTTCATCTTCGCTATTTTTATATTGTTTGTATCCTCCAGTGTTTAATTTTCTCTACAATTATAAAAATTACACTGCGATAGTGGATGCGTAGTTTTCCCGTGGCTTGAGCAAAAGCAAGGTTTCCGTCGAAAATTTAATTTAAATCAACGGTGAAAGGGTTGCTCTTCCGTTTCCGATTCTTCGCGTCGGGCTCGCCTTTTTCTCATTGGCTTTTTTCTCACGACCGCGGCTCCGGAAGACGGCTCCGAAATCGAAGTGTATGAGAAATCGCGGGGTATTTAGGCCACGCGACATGCGGAGAAAGGTTTTCCGTGTTGTCGAATCAGCGATGACGCAACAACGTTTCGCGACGACGTGCGTTAGTCACGTCACGTCCCGAAAACGATGATTGTGACATAGCGATCGCGCGAAATCGGAGAGACGTCGAGTACGTTCAATTGTTATCAGAAATCTCATCGGTGCGTGCGTTCTAAAATGATAAACACTGGTAGAGACGTGCCTTTAAACTTTTTTTTTATGTTATGCAACCGTGCATATAAACTATAATGCACTTGAGCTTTGATAATATTCGATAATGTGCATCGTAATGCATCGTAATTATTTCTAAGAACTCGCCGTGTCTGTATTATCAGCGTTGTTGTATTTATAGCCGACTCTTTTTATAGTAACGGCGATAAGCCAGGCTGTGAGGACTACTAGTTTACGCGATGTTTCAGACGCTTGTGACACACGCGCACACACGTGTTTTCAACATACTTATATGGGCCACTTTCCGTTAAATTGCCACTTTTTGTGCCAAGGTTTCGAGTGACAATGGTCGACAATTAGTTGTAGTACGTGCTACGTAAACGTATTGCCATTTAGTTTTCATTATTAGAGAGAAATAATATAGTTGGTATTTTTAAAATGTTATTTTTGCTTCGACGAACCTGAGGCGTCTCGTGCGCCTTTCCGTATTGCAAGGCGACGCCGACGATCGAGCGGACGTTGCAGCAGCTCGTCCTCCAGGCTCAACCGATCTTTCGTGGATTTATCCGCTCGGGGATCTGTTCGGCGAATTTCTCCCCTTTCTTTCGTGTGGCAATCGCCAGGCTCTTACCAAACCGAGAGACTTCCTGGTCAGGAAGTAGCTTGGAACCGTGACCAAATGTCCTCTCGAGATGTTGCGATGATTATACGGTCTGAATTGGAAGGAACGTGTGTCTTTCTCTCTCTCTCTCATATGGTGACATATAATTCTCGACAGGTAGGAGAAAGCAATGGTAATAGATTTCGCTCGAGGACTGATTTACGTTATTATTCTGCCCACCTCGAAAACCATTCTCTCTAAAGGCCTGTGCCCACGATGCTAGAACCTGGTCCAAGTTCTAGCTTCTATGGAATAGCTGCAAGTTGATTGGCTATATATTTCTCGAAACTAGAACCTGGGCCAGAGGTTCTAGCATCGCGGACACAGACCTTGAGAGCCTACGATTTATCTTAACTATACGCAATATTATTGATTTCCAAACTCGTGTTTGCGGGAATGGCTGCGATGAAGGAAATCACTTATCTCGCGTCCGTCGCCGATGACCGCGCCGATGTAACCGCATTATCGAAGAAAAACGGGCAGAAAATCTTGGCACTTTTTATCCGCCCTTGCGCAACGTCTGGTGAATCCCCGAATTGCGTAATTCCCTCTTTCTCTTTCTCTTCATTTATCACGCATTGAGATTATAAAAAATGAATCGCGTCGCTGGTCGAGCGTGCCTAATCCGCTTCGCGTCGGCAAATTATGTAAAGCAGCTGGCAACGTCGGTCCGTGCGTCGGATTGTCCACGTCGCCTGCACAAATACATCCGAGAATTGAAGATGTCCTTGCGGTTGATCCGCGGCCTTAAATTGTTTCTTGTTTACGTGACGAAAGAGAGAGAAAGAGAGATGGGGCTTTCGCGCGCATGCACGCAACGATACGCACGAAACGATACGTGCGATGCTTCTCGCGATACCAAAGCGGATTCCTTCGCCATGGTCGGGCGATACATCCGCGGGAATACCCGATTCGTTTCTTGGTCATGGCCTGTGAATCAGGGCCTGTGCGCGATAACACTTGCTCGACGACGACCAGGAGAAATTTCGCTGCCTCGTCAGAAACGGAGAGAAGAAGCTCTTAAGGTCTGCGTCCACGATGCTAGAACTCGGTCCAAGTCCTTGTTTCGAGAAATGCGTAGCCAATCAACTTGCAGCTTTCATGGAATAGCTGCTAGTTGATTGGCTACGCATTTCTCGAAACAAGGACTTGGACCGAGTTCTAGCATCGTGGACGCAGACCTTTAGGCCGATCCCTCGAGTCAATTTGAAAAAAAAAACGCGCCCCGACCTTTTTCCCCGGCGCATACAGTTTCGCGTTTAATTCTTAAATAATTAACAATGGCGGATGCAATTTGTAAAATTTTAATTAGTGCACGTGCACATTTACACGCAGTGTAAATTGTTGTTCTCAAGCACTTTACATTTTAACATAATTACGAGTGTATTCCAACTGTTTGAAGACGTGCTTGTTCGCGTCAGTGTTACAGGAGCCGAGTTAGCTGCGCGCTACCTCGGGAGGCCCCCGCGAGCTGTTCAGCCTCAGGTTTTTCTATCTTTGTCGCTCTTTTCCCCGTGAGCTGCACGTGGCGAACGAGATAATTCGAGTCACGCGCGTCTCCTCGTCGCTTTCTGGAACTGTCGAGCGTGCGCCGCTTCGCACGGCGATGAGTTTCGAAAGGTTGCCTGATATCACCCCATTGCGTCGAGGGACGCGTCACGAGCTGATATAGAATTCACGGGATATCCGGGAAAATGTTGAGATATTTTTTTCACGATAAATAACCGGACAGACTCTAAAATGCCTATAGTTAAAATTACAATTAGATTGAATAATCCGACACAACTGGCCAC